ATTAATAACTATTGGCTTTTACATGTAATAAAACATATTTGGATTATTTTTTAGTTATTCTGTAATTGTAGTAGAAAAAAAATGAAGAGAACTAAGTATCTATGCTAAAAGTGTACCATGACACTGAACATCTGTGAACTCCTGGTCAGGCAACATGAGCAGGTGACAGACTAGAAGTGCATTTTTGGGGCTGCTAGCTGTTCCATGGGAGGGTCATCACCTGGAATTTCAGCACTTTTCAGTGGGGCAGCAGGTGAGATGCATGGCAGTGCAGGAAGCAGGGAGGTGGGAATCAGGGCATGGTTTTGGGCATGCTGAGCTGGACCCATGGCTGGCAGGGACCTGCACTCGCCCTGTGGCAGAGTGTGTGCAGGCTGGGCTCCACATGTGACTCCACATGTGACAGTGCAAGGGCAAATTTCTCACTGATAAAAGGATGATTGGATAAACAGTTCTCAGTGAAAACCCACTGTGGAAACCACTCTGAAGAGGCTCTACTCGACAGAAAGACACTGAAGGATCAAGTAAGTGTTGCCAGAGGCATGGTAAGAGCTCTGCTGTGTTCTTATAGGAAGGGCTGGGTTCTCTGGGCAGCCCAAATCCTTGTGGGAAAGCCAGAACTGGCGAGACACACAGATTTTCAAGCAAATGCTCAATTACATCAGTGTTAGCCTCTGATAGGTGCCCAAATGACTCCAACTGGCCAGCTCTTCCTCACTGCCTCCCTGACTCACACCACTGCCCCAATTAGCCTAACTGGGACCCAGCCAATTCCCCACTGCTCCTAGTTAAATCAGCTCTCCTCCACAGATGGAGATGGCCTTAGCAGGGGGTTGCCTTTTGGCTTTGCTCTCCCTGCTCTGTCACAGGGCTGATTTTGGTGGGTGGGCTCTGCAGAGCTGGGGGAGGCTGAATCTGCTCCAAGGCCCCTGCAGGCTCTGTGGGCTTCCACACCCACCCTCCTGTGAGAATGGGGCACCTCCTGCCCCTGTCTCTCTGCAGGGAGAGGCAGAGGCACAAGGCCTGTAAAGCCTTTCTCCTTTGTGTTCCTTTCTGGTCTTCCTTTCTGGTTTGTGTTCATCTGGAGTGAATTCAGCTGCAAAGAGAGAGATGGAGCATGGAGCTCTTGTAGTTTAATTTGAGATTGTCACCCAGAGGTATTGGGGTAATTATCTTTCTAAATCTGTGTGTTTTGACAATGTAGAAAACAATTTGGAGTCAAACAGGGGTCATTGACTTGTTTTGTTCTTGTTCAAGAATGACAGATTATTACACCAACAGTGTGCCAAGGTTGATGGTAAGCACAGAAATGTGTCATTTCTCTGTCCTGCCTGGAATGAAGATTTCACCCTTGTGTGCTCTGGGTTCAGTTTATTGAAATACAGCAAGCAGCATAGAAAACCAAATAGGAGCTATGCACTAGTTGTGCACTGGTTTTGCAAAAAGACACAGGTGGAAACCAAACTGCAGGTGAGAGAAGAGCTGAACTGGCTCAGCATGCAGAGGGGCTCCTGGCTCTGCTGCAGGGTGTAGGTGACAGAGAAGGTGAGAGAACAAGGGTGCCTGAGCAGAGCTAGGGATTGATTTGTGTAGAAAGTGTGTTTGCAAAGGCTAATCTCTGAAAGTAATTGGCATGATGAAATCTAGCTCTCAATTCATGTACAGTCAGGCTAATGCCTGGTATATCCTGCCCATCTCACTTAACACCCAGGAGCTAGCAGCAGTTTGTGCCAGGAATATGGGATGACTCATTTGAGCTGTTTTGTTTGAAGAAATCAGGTCCCTGATTGCTCTGGTTATTCTGAAGCCTTTCTCACTGAGAAGAACAAAGTATGCCCAGAAGATGTGGAAGGTTTCTTTTTTAGTATGCAAATGATGTCCTTCACTAAGTTTATTCTTTGTCTTATTCTTTGAGGTGAGGGGTGCCCTCCATGCCCTGACAAAAGGTGGTACAGCACACACACACCAGGCTGTTCTTAGGCTGGCTGTTCTTGTCTAATTGATCATCAGGGGACAGCAGGGGTAGCAGGCACCTCTGGAGATCACAGAGTCCAGCCCTGCTGGCAGCAGAACCAGCCAGAACAGGCTGTCCAGGGCTAGCCCTGCTTGTGCTTTGACTATCTGCAAGAACAGAGAGTCCACAACTTCTCTGGGCAACCTCATTCTTGTGTTTGACTACGCTCACAGTAAAAAAAGTAAACAAAAAGCTTTTACTTTTTGCCAGTATTTCAATATTTCCCTGTCACTGTGCTCAGAAGAGTCCATGATGGAGAGTTCTTTGCTGTCATTCCATCAGGTATAAGATCCCCAGAGAGACATTTTAAGCCTGGATGTATTCTTATCTTTTCCAAAGTATGTGGTTCAGCTGCCAAACTTGTGAAAACACAGACTGTTATATCCATCTTTTCCTGTCTCATCCCCCAACACCACATTTTTATTGGTCTGTTCTTGCCAGCTGTTGCTCTGTTTGCCATCATCCTCTTCTGGAGAGCTGGATGTTTTCCCTGGATGCCAGTCAGCCTCTTTTGCCCTTCTCATTGCCCTCTGTCCCATGGCATGCTGGCTCCCAGGATGAAGGGTGGTGGTGGTTGGTGGCCTGCATCAAGTTGGTACCCACAAGGCGACCAGACTTTGGGCCTAGAATCCAGGGAGATTTTTTCTGAGGAGAAAAAAAGGAGATAAACTTGATTTTCCCTAGTACTTATGTTCAGTAAGGCAGCAGCTGTAGAGCTGCCAAGAGGAACTCAGGAGAAAAGTGAAATATATGGGTTTGGGGGTTGGTTTTTTCTGTTTTCTAATACAAGAAGGCATTATTCATCCAGCACAGTAAATTGCTAAGCTTCTAGTTCATAAACAAAATAAATAGTTTAAATAATGAAATGATCCTTTTAGGGCAGGCCCAGAGCTGGCATTGCAGCCCTGCCTCTGAGATCTCAGTGAGCGCCCTGGAGCCTGCACTCCCTGAGCTCCATTGCTCCAACAAACACCCAGAGCAGGAATTGGCCCCTGGAAAGAGTGGTGGGAATCAGGGCTGGAGCTGGCAGGCTCAGCCAAGCAGGATGGGCTCCTTCCAGGCTGAATCCTGTGGTAGATGGGGCAGGTGGGTTGGGAACAAGCTGGACATATCCAATTTCCAAGTGTGCTCCTCCTCAGCTCTCAAATGAGCAAACTGTTCACAGCTCCATGACCTCCACAGCTCCTTCTACCCCAGGGTCAGAGAGAGAAAGCAGAGGTTCAGGATTCACAATCATATTCCTTTAGAGCTGCAGAATTTCTATTCAGACAAGGAACATAGAAGTAAAACCTAAAAATATACAGGTTTTATCCTTTCATATCTAAATATTGTCCTTTCTCTCACAAACAAACAGTCTCTTTTACATGTAAACACCAATATTTTCTTCAGTAAACTTCCAGCAGAGGTCTGAAATAGCCATGTCTCTCCAGAAAGTCACATTATTTGAATAATTCCTGCTTCAGATAGGCATTTAGGAAACAGAACTATCTGTGAGTAAAGCACCCCTTCTTCTCACAGTGAAAGAAACAGTACTTCAAAGATTAAGACTCTCAAAGATTCATGTGTTTTTACTGCTGAACTTATGCTGCATTCATATTTCTACTGGAAATGACAATTCTGTGTTTAAAGGGTTGGCAGACTGTTTATAGCAAGACAAATTTTGATGTTGCAGGTTGCATAGGAAAAGTAGGAAATGAAGCTCTAAACCACAGGATAATTGGCAGAGTTTTGATATGTCTTGTGGGGTGGGAAAAGTGTAAAAGTTCTTACCTGTTTTGGGAAGCAAAATATCCAGAAAGGTTCTATTTCAAAGGAATCCACTTTCTGATTGGCACATCCCTCAGAATCACCCACTTTTATCTGACTGAAGCCACATGCTCAGAATCATGGAATCATTTAGGTCAAAAAAGACTTTTAAAATTGTTGAGCCCAGCCACTGATCCAGCACTGCCAAACCCACCACTAACTCATCCCCAAGTGCCACATCTACACATCTTTTAAATCCCTCCAGGGATGGTGACTCCACCACTGCCCTGGGCAGCCTCTTCCAATGTTCTACAATGCTTTTGGTGAAGAAATTTTTCCTGATATCCAATCTAAGCTTCCAATGGCACAACCAGAGGCCATTTCCTCCTGTCCTATTGCTTGTCACTTGGGAGAAGAGGCCAACCATCACCTGGCTACAAGCTCCTTTGAAATAAGGTTCCTGTGAGCCCCCCATCTCCCTTAGCTGCCCCTCCTCAGGCTTGTGTTCCAGACCCTTCTGGAACTGCAGCTTCCTGCACTCACCACAGGGTTTTGTTGAGGTAAGGAGGAACCTTCCTGATAGAGGCTTTTGGCTGTAAGGCCCTCCATCCTCTCTAATACATGGGATCTGCGCACCACTTAGGTTATGCTGAATGCAGCCCTTTCCTATCCCAGCAGCTGCTCTGAATTTCTGTGTTTTGGGGATTTTGTAACTATTTGAAGAATCTCTCTGTAATCCTATATCATCAAGCACACTGATCTGGTTTTCTGCTTATTAGCTTAATATATCCTGCAGGTGGGTGTTTTTATTTCATTGCAAGTCAGGCTGGAACTGCCAAGCTTCTCCTTCCCTGTTTGTGGCTGTTCTAACCACGAAGAAATAAATTTTGCTCACTCTAACAGCCATGACCTTTTCAATCTCAAGTGCTTGCACTGAATTCCATTTGAGTTAGCAATTTTTCCTCCAGCACCCAGAAAAAAAAACCTCTTCACCCTACAAATAACTTTCACAAATGCAAAAACTCACTGCTAATCAGTCAGGAGAAACGTCTGGCATTTGGTGAGACTCGTTAAGCTGGTGGCTCCCAACATGTGCACTGCCGTTAAAGGGCAGCAGGAAGGAGGGGAGATGGTGTTTGCAGCCAGCCTCTGCTGCTGCTGGGGCATCTGGGGCAGGGAGGTGATTGATCAGTCGAGCTTAAGCAGCACTTAATTTGCTGTTATTGATCTTCCACCACAGGCAACAGATACCATGATCCAAACCAGGCTGTTGGGCCAAGATAAAAGGTACCTGCTTCTAATTCCTTTGCTGACAACATGGCTGGGCTCATTGTGGTGGAGAAACCAACCCTACACGACGTGGGAAGAAGGCAAAGGAGAATACCCTGGTTTTCAGGGTGAGTGGACAGTGAGGTGGAATGAGAGCAGGCTGAATGTCAGATCCAGGAGGGGTAGTGGCACAGGATCTGGCTGGGGGCCTGTCACTGCTGGTGTCCCCAAGGTTCAATACTGTGCCTGGTGTTGTTTAACTGGTTGGACAAACATTGGATGAAGGGTAGATGTTGGGAATTTAGCTGCTAAGGACTGGAAAAGTACAAAACAAAAGTGGCTAATTCCAAGTCCTGCACCTGTGAGATAGCATGTCCTTGGGGCCTAGCTGTGGTAGGATAACAAACAGTGAAAGAGAGGTGAGAAAAGAGAGATGTAACTCCTAAGGAATGAGGAAGAGTTGATGGTATAGTTTAACCAATAGATTGCTTAGCTTACAGAATATTCATAAGCTTATTACTCGCTGTATAAGCGTCTGATGCTCTCTTCAATAAACTGGAATTTGCTTATCACTCATATTGAGTGTCTGAGTCTCCCCTCACCGACAAATGGGTCATCCCCGACAAAGGCCTTCATTCTCTGCGACAGGTAGATGCCGCCTCAGTCGCTCTGCTGACAACACAAAGCTGGGAGGAGAGGCCAATAGCCCAGAGGGCTGGGCAGCCCTTCAGAGGGACCTGAACAGGCTGGAGAGGTGGCAGAGAGCTGTCCCAAGTTCAGCAAAGGGAAATGCAGGTCCTGCACCGGGGGAGGAATAACCCCAGCCACCAGTACAGGTTGGGGGTGACTGCTGAGCTTGACTTGTACCAGGATAACTGGAAACTGGACTGGAGAGCAAGAGGAAGTTGAACCAGTGTTTGGCTGGAGGGAAATTGGTCTGACAGGGGGAGATGAAGCCATCAGAGGCACCCCCTCTGTCCTAAGCTGGCTGAGACACTGCATGTTTGTTTTCATAGCCTTACACAGGAAAAAAAGACTAGTTATTGAGAGAAACGTGCCATATGCTGCTGCATATGGCTGAAACATCTGCATATGTACCCAGGGATCTGATATATGTGATGAGCTTCTGTTACAAATCCAACAGTGAAGAAATTATCTTTTGGAATTTTTTAAAATTCATTTTTTAAAACTATCTCTAAGGCTCTTGGAAGGAAGTCAGCCTCCTGGCTTTGTCTTGGTGGGATTTCATGGAACCTGCAGGGTGCAGTGAACATAGACGGTGCTTACAGTTGTTTGTTGAAGAGTTACCAACACTCCTTCCATCCCCAGGGATGTCTGAAGGCTGAGTGAGTTGTCCCAAACTTTTCCATTGGCCACTGCTCCCAAACAAGCAGCAGAGGGGTGAAGTAGATGAAGGAATCTCCCATCCTGGAAAAAGTTGTTAGACAAAAAGGATTATGGAAAATACCATATATGGGGTAACAAAGTGGTATTTGTCTAGTTCCCCACTGAGCTAGAAGGATGCCATAGAGGTCTGAGACACAAAGTGCTTCAGGACACAGAGAGCTCTTCATGAGAAAGCAAAACATTCCAGCTCATTCAGTTGAACTTGTGGTGCAAAATTCTCAATCTCATGTAAATTCCCCAGAACTTTTAAGGCAGAAGTCACAGAATCACAGAATCATTTAGGCTGGAAAAGAGCTCTAAGATGATCAAGTTCAGCTGATAACCCAGCATTGCCTTGCTCACCAACACACCCTGTCCCTCAGTTTCCCATGCAAAGTCTGTGGATCTTTGTTTTTTCCATTCTCAGCTGGAACCACTGAGCGCCTTTGTCTCTTTGAGCCCCTTAAACTTTCAGGTTTTGCATTTGCTGCAGGGAAACTGCCTGTGGGCTCAGATGGGGTGAGGGGGTGACAGGGAGATTGGAGGCATTTCCAGGCTCCTGAAATGCTCCACTTGTAGCAGTGCCCAGAGGGAAGCAATGAATGAAATTTCTTCATAATGAGGTTAGTCACTTCTTAATTCAGTATTAAAACGATCTGTTTCAATATTGAATCAACATTTAAGAAAAATCAATGAAAAATAGATTGTAAAACCATCTGATTTGTGGATGGTCTTAGGTGACAACTACTGAAAAATGAAAGAGCCCAGACTGAAGCCCTGTGCTTCAATATAACACAAAGTAAGAAATAATATATCAGTATTGCCTGCAACATGCTCTTTTGTACCAGAGATATAAGAACATAAGATTCCTACAGAAGGTTTCTTGGATGGCAAAAATTCCTAGATACTGCTTGAATTATGTGCCAATAGCTCAGCATTTGTGGAAGGTGTCATCTAATTAAACCAGAATTTTTAAGTACCAGACAGCATGAAGACCAGTAATAAGAGAGCAAAATCCATCTGTATTACAGATGGGATATGCAACTCTAATAGTATGGCTTTAGGCAATGTTTAATTGAGTAGTTAAATTATCTTTTCCAGACGGGAAAATAAATTACTGCTCATCTCTCCAATTTATTTTAGCTTCTCCACATTCTGTTTCCTGAGGGAGTGGTGAGAGAGTGTGGGACACCCCAAATATGCCTGGGATGATTTATTCACCCCATGTACCATAATTTCCCCTTCAAGGAGAATGTCTTATATGCATGTGGAAGTTGGTGTGTATGTAACTGGCTGTATTCTGCTCTTTTCTTGCAAAGAATCTCTGCTAATCACTGTGGTGCTAATCACAGCTGTATGTTACATGCATGTGTTTGTGTGGTTTTAAGTATATTCTTTCTAAAAAGGCAAGAGAGAGGATTGCTGGTTCACCATCCTTCAGTCAAATCAGGAGTGTGTATCTCAGCAGAGCCATGCAATTTGCCTTTGAAGTTTTCTCAAGCTTTGGGATAGCCTGAAAATCTTCACATTGTCTCACAGCATTTTGTAGAATGGGATCATTTGTGTCAAATATCCTGAGGACTGTTACTCCTCAGGTTGCCTAAACTCAACCAGAGGAGCAGACAGCAATGCATTATACCCTCTGTGGCACATAGGAGCAGAACTGAGAATGTTGGACCATTTCAGTTAATTAAGCATTGGATCCATGTGATTCCATCTGCCTGAATGGGTCAAATGCCTGCACCCAGGCACAGCCATGCTAGAGTATGCTAGCTTGTGTGCTTTATGCTGGCTACAGGAGCACATCAGGTGTTCCATCTGGGGTGGAAGTTTCTGCCCCAAAGTCACTCCTTGGGAAGCCTGGAGCAGATCTGAGTTGGTTGCTTGGGTTGGTACCTGACTCTGGGCTGGGTTGTGTGACTGTGATGTTTTTGATCGAGTGCTCTGAGCCTAAAAACAAATTTCTCACATCTTGCAGAACTACAACCCAAATCCCTCATGATGTCTGAATATTTGTGAATGTAGTAACAGGCCTCTGTGCATGGCAGACAGCTGGGCTCAGTCTGCCCCTTTCCAAACAAAATCATGACTTGCTTTTCATTTGGTCACATCCTAGCCATGGTCTTGGCTGTGAGCTGGATGAGATAACCATGTTCCCCTTGTGTGACCCAAAATTGCTGAAATTCTGGGGGACAGAGAAGGGTGAAACAGGTTTAAAAGCACTTGGGGAGGAAAGGCTCTGTAGTAGCGCAGGAGAATCTTGTTGCTATTGGAGTATTCATACCTCTGAGAATAACTGATGGGACTAGAGAAAATTAGTTTTAAAATTACAGGTGGTCTATTTTTCCCCTTGGTAAAAGTTTTTTCTAGCAAAATTAATAAAAGATTGTTTTAATGAATATGGATGCTTATTGCCCAGAAGCTCCATGGGTTTTAGAAGATGCCCTCAGGGGAAAATGCTGACTGGAAGAGCTGAGGGTGCAAAGTTGATACCTCAAATGTTTCTCGGCAGACATGTTGAGTTCAGAGTGCTTCCAGGCTGTAGAGGTGCAGCATGGTCAGTGTGAGCCCTGAGAAACTCCTTTGCTTGCTGTGAGCTGTCACAATTTAATTTTAAAAATGAAGGTGCACAGATGCTTTTTAAGCTGCCTGGAACACAAATCTAACACACACAGCTGTGAAAGGACTTTACTAGCCACTGCTTTTCAATAAGCCTGTCTCTCTTAGACCAGTCCAAGTTTAGGGCTTTCAAGCAAACAGCCCTGAGGCACTGCTCTGTGAGGATGAAAGGCTTGTTCTCCACTCAGGACTGTGTGGAGCAGTAAATTCATGTTTTACTGCATGTCTCTGCACATCCTTAAATGATTCCACATTGCAGTGCTTGGAGGGATCAGAGCATTGTGTACCAACTCAGACAGGCACTGATCCAGGCATGGGGCACGTGCAGCTCTCCCAGGGGACAAAGCCAGTCAGGAAAATGCATGGAGCAAGTGGCTGAGGCTCCTGCAACCCCACCTCCATCTCCCCACAGTCAGGCTGCTCACAGCTGCACCTTTCCCACTGCTGCAGTAATTTTTTCCACATGGAGCATCACCAGTTGTCTCTGAGAACCTGAATCTGCCTTCTGCAAGTTGTGCCTGGTACCAAAACAAACTGCACAGTGCTGGCTTGCTGTTTGCTGCCCAGTGCATCCACCTGCCATTGCCTGGGGGTTTGACCCACCTCTGAGCCAATTTTTACCTCCTCATTTGGGGTGATGAGTTTCTCAGGGCCAAAACATCACCTGAACAGAAAAGACAGTGTGATTTTAGAGTAGATGCACACCCAGGGCCTTGCTTCTCTATGCTTACTCCTCAGTGTCCCCAGTTTAGCTCTTGCACCCTAACCTGAGTTCTCCTTTTCATTGTGCTGTCACATCCCAGGTGAGAAGAAGAATGATGCTTCAGCTCATAACCCTGCCCTTCTTAGTGACACTTCAAAGAAATCAGTGTAGTGATACAAGTGATTTTATTGAGTTGTAGGACTGTATTTTATGCTCTGAAGGAACACTTACTTCACATAAAGGCTTTGACATTTTTATAGAAATGGCTATAACTGTGTTATTCTATACAAGGAAGAATTTATTAAGCCTCGATCTGGATCTCCTTTTATGTTATGCAAATGACTAATAACAACCCTTCTTCATTACCAGCTCAGTGCCCAGGCCAGGGTTATTAAATCCCCCCTTCGCTTCCCTTCCTTCAGCCTGCATCTATCAGGCTGCCACATTAGGCTGCAGCACATCAGAATTCATAAAACCAGCCCAGACTTGTACAGGGATATGAGGCTGCAGAATTAAAGCCCAAGTTGCAGAGCACTGTGGGTTTTTGCCTGCTGTGAGAGGAGCAATCCAAGGGATTTTGGGACATGGTGTGTGGAGTGAGGCACAACACCACCTTGTTTACTTGTGATTGTGAAAAATTTCACATCCACCATATAGTGGGGGGGGGGAGAAAGTAAGGGTTCATTTCCCTCACTAGCAGATAACACATCCTGCTTTTTGAATTTTCAGGAGTGGTTTCCACTGTGTTCCATCCAGACGTGCAACCATCCCCTACAACTCTCTGCTCTGATCTCATCCTGGAGCCGGCTACAGGGGGCTGCCTGTGACACCAAGCAGGGCTGAAAAGGTGTTTCTGCATTCTGGGTGATGTTTAGACATTCACACTTGTAAGAATAATATTATTTCTCCAAAAAATCTTTGAGTGTGTTGGAGATTAGTTTGGGTTTTGTGATATGCTAAAAGTTGGAAAGCAATAAAGACTTTTTATTGTGTAAAGTCAACAGACTAAGAAAGTAGCCATCCCAGACTCATTTGATGCTAGATAGTTGGGGGCAGTCCCCTGGGAGGCAGACATGAATTAAATTTTAAAGGTGCATCCCAGAAGTACACCCCGTTTCTCAGTCTGAGATGACCACACAACCACGGAAACTGGGTAAATGGGCTGAGGACAGTAGTTGCTTCTCTGGCTCTGCATGCTCTGTAAATATCAGCTGAATCAAGTGCTGTAGGTGAGAAAAGTGAAGGAAAACCTTGTTTTGTGGATATGGATGGGATTTTGTGTGGGCTAAACACCAACTGTTCAGCATCTTTTGTGGATGGATCTAGCCCAACTGATCAGAAGTGGCATGTGCTGAGTGAAAAAATACATGTCTGAGGGAGTTCCTGGCCATCATTTTATGGATGAAAGGGAGAAGAAAAAGACATTCCTGTGAGATTCATTTTCTTAGCAGGAAAAAGTTACCAGTGTTCTTCCCAGAGCCGTTTCAGGAGCCGTAATTATGCTTTTGTGTATCAAAGGAGAAGAATGTTTACACCTGACCAAGCCTCTGGGTAGATGAGATGTTCTGTCTTGGAAAATTGTCACCTTCAGGGTGGCTGCTCTCACACAGCTAATGCAGAGCACAATTTTTCCCTGCAGTGTAGTTGTAGCAACCTGCCAGTGTTCACCCAAGGCTACAGCAGTTTTCTCTGCTTCCACAGCCTGTAGGTCAGAATCTGGCCTGACAAAAAGTGCTAATGTGGAGTCTCCAGAGCTCAGTCTGTGATTTCTGCTATATACCATTGACTTCTTAAAGAAAGAAAAGTATTTGTATCCCAGCAAAACACATAATAAAAGTTATAATTTAGATAGAATTTTAGGGTAATTACCTATAGTGAGGGTTGGATTGGTGTGAGCATCACCAGCTCCTGCTCTTTCTGAACTCATGTGCAGCCTTTTGTTGCACCCCAGGGCCTGCAGAAAGGGCTGTGATGTGCACCAGAGGTCCCAGTGCAAGGACAGCCATGTGCTGGGGGCTCTGCTGCTGCTGGGTCCCCACAGGTGCTGCTGTGGTTTGAGCCTCTGTTCAGGTATCTCACAGCTCACTGAGGAGCAGAGCAAGTAAAGACTACAAAGCTGCAGTCTGGAAATGAGAAATAGATGTTGAGTTATAAAATATTATGCAAGTAAACTAACACCCCCCTTTAACAGCCAGAAATAAACTTCTTTGATGAGGGCTTAGCTATGATTCCATCTATACTGAAATAATTTCAGAAGAGTGCAGCTTCTAGAAAAGGTTTAAAACATGGGATTTAATGAAACAGAGTTTAAAAACCGCCAGAGCCAGCCATCCTTCCAGGGCTGCGGGGTCGGCTGAGCTTTCCCAGCACCCCGAGACAGATGTGGGGCTCAGCACAGCGGTGCTGAACGCGGAGCCCGCAGCCGAGGGTCGCGGACAGGGTGGGTGGGATGGTGTCGGATGGTGCTGGGTGCCCATTCCCTGCTGTGCAGCTCCATCTAGGGGCTGCTCCTACCCTGGAGCAGACGGAGCCGGGCATTCCCGGGCAGGATCCCGGGAAATGGGCTGATCCCAGCAGGGACATGCCGGGGATGCAGGAGCCCCAGCCTGTGCCGTCTGTCCCACCGCTCCCCAGCAGGGCTGAGGGCAGCTCCGGAGAAGTCCTGGACCAGCAGGGACTGAGCCTGGTCAGTGCAAAAAGGGTTTGGTGCTTTGGGCAGGCAGAGGTGACTCCTCTTTGCAATGGCACTGGACACCAGGCTCTTAGCAGCATCCACTTTTCATCGGGTGCCTTCTCGAGCTTAACCTGATTAAATTTCTTCAGTGAAAGGGTGATCAAACATTGGAAGAGGCTGGCCAGGAAAGAAATGGAATCACCATGCCTGGAAGTTAAAAAAACTGCAGATGTGGTGTGTGGGGACATGGTTTACTCAAGGACCTGCCAGTGTTGGGTTAATGGTTGGACTTGCTGGTCTTAGAGGGTTCTTTCAACCTTAATGATTCTGCACTTCTGAATCAACTCAGGCTTACCTCGATTTAAGCCCCATTTGGTGCAATTCACTCTGGTTCACTGATCCTCATCCCTGTGGTGAAAGGTGCTGTGAACCCCAGGGCTGGGAGCAGGTCAGGGCACTTGCAGTTCCCTCTCAGTGGAGGAATTGCTCACAGGGAGGAAGGGAAGAGCAGCAGCTGGGCTGGGAGAGCAGAGCAGCCAGGCACTACCCTGCCTCTGGGAGCTCCGGATGAGAGGGAGCTCTGCTGTCTTCTGGGCCACCTCTCTGCAGGCAGTAGTGACCTACAGTTAATCAGATGGGATGGGATCTGCAGTTACTAAGGCTTGGGATGCTGACAGGGCAAGTTTCTGGGATGGTTTTCTGTGTTGAATTACACAGAAAGGACTTTGGTGAGGTTCTCTGAGGAGGGCCTTGTTTTCTAGCTCCTCAGGAGGCTCTGCATTGCTCATGTCCCATGAAGTCCCTCAGGTGGGAGGAAAACACATGAACAACCTTGCTCTGGGAAGGAGTGGGGCATTGCAGCCTTCACATGTGTCATGAAGGAGGGTAAAAAAAGAAGGCTGACCCTGTGGCATTATGCATTATCCTTTACAGAAGAGGTAAACCTAGAAGCATGCAGATTCTGAATGCCTAACATAGAGAAAGGACAGGGGAACTCAAACTGTGAGTGAAGGTGCTCTGCTCCAGGCTTGCTGGGGATCTGATGAGTGGTAATATATGATCAAACACTAATTGTCTTCAAATAAGAGGAAAACCAGCTCCAGGCCAGCTGACAGGGAACCTGCTGGCTCCATCTGATGCATATTCAGAAGCACATCAGCAGCAGAGAGAGTCAGCACATAAAGTCAAGACTCTCAAGTATTTGCTAGTTAATGATCCCAGGGGAAAGATCACAGTTTTGTCACAGCAGTGAAAGAACACCTAATCATTAACTGAGTTTACAGGTAATCACAGTTACATCATACTTAGCCATTTTCCAATATATCAGAATCATTTTGAGGGAGGTCCTTCTAAGCTGAGGAAGAATTGACCACAAAACCAGACTTTTCCTGCTCTGTATTCAAGAGTCAACATGTCTTAATGTGACATTTCATTAAAGGCCACATTTCTACTAACCTCAGCAGAAACAGTAACAAGCAAAGGGAAGACCAGCAAATGAAACATCTTCTGGCAATAAAGACGCAGCAAGATTCAATGAAATGTGAATATTATTTATTTAAAGAGTGATTGCCATATCATTGGTGAATGCCAGTAAAACAGGAACATCTGTCACCTGGCCTGGAGCTAATGCTCCCATGCTTATGTGCTATCCTCCATGTAATCAGTGTTTGACATTTGTTGCAGTCTTGAAGCAGAGGTTTTAGTGTTATATATTTTCCAACATGCTTAATTAGCAGCTTTAGTAATTGTCTATAAATTTCACCATGAGGGGATGATTGAGCAGAGACCTTTCACACAGCACCAAATGGATAACTACTGTGGGCCTGCCACTGCTGCTGAAGCAGCCAGTTCAGCTTTGGGTGAGGGAGAAGAAGGGGATGCAGTCCTTTGGTGCAATGGTGAAAAGCCTGACAGAGAGAAAGTGGTGTTTTCTCATTTTCACACAGAGAACAGGAATGTGTGAATGTGTGGGGAGAGCAGTCATGGGGCAGAGACATGAGGTAATGGAAAGTCATGACAATGGAAAGAAGTAGAACCCTGCCCAGACCTCTGCACCTTCAGATCCTCCAAGGCTCTCTGTTCTCCAGCAGCTTCTCACAATACACAAGTACCTACATGCAGGCTAATTAGAGCAGCACTGATGTGCTTTCTTGAAAAGACTGGAGGTAATAAGAAGTCTGAAAGGAGGGGCCACCCTGTCAAAAGGAAAGGCTGGGAAACACTGGTCTCTGCAGCTCACAGGGGGCTTTGCACCCTTCATGTCTCCCTGTGGCTGCATCTCATCCAGCCAGGGTCGGTGAAGCTGGGTCCTTCACTGCCTGCCAGAGAGCCACTACAAGAATCCCTATCTGTCCCTATGTTCACCAAGGGGTCTTTGGTAGCAGGCTTGAGATTTTTGTCTCTTTGTTGCTAGTTTATGCAAAAAATCAGAAAAAAAATAAGCCTAAGTCCTGAAAACCTTCAAAAGCCTCAGCTGTTTACCCATGTGAGTTTTAAAGGCTGTAACTTGTGGCCCTGGTGGGGTCTCAGAGGAGTTTCAGGCAGGGTTTCCACATGCCTAAGAAGAGGATCACCAGTTTTGGTCTGCAGAGGAGCTGGTGACTTTCTCCAATCTTTTTGATGTCTTCAGATATGAAAATCTCCAAAGCTGCAGACTTTCATATCCCATATCCTTCATGTGGGTAAAGACAAAACAGATCTCTATTTGCATTTTTAACGTGTAGAAATGAACCATCCTCATAGATATTTGATTACACAGTTGAACAGCAACTGCTGCTCAGTGACATGTGCTGCACTGCCCATTTTCCCAGAGCAAAGCTGCCATGGGTGCTTTGGATAAAGCAAAGCTCTTCACTGAGAGCCTTCCCTGAGTGAGGATGCTCTGTTGATTCACTCTGCAGCATCTCCTGGTGACTTTCTCCTCTTTGTGCCTATGGGAAAGCTGGGCAAAGAGAAAAGCCTGACTTGCAGCTCTCCATCCTTCTTGGTGGAGAAAATATGAAGCATGCTACTCAGTAAATTAAATCTGTATATTCCTAGTGTCCTTTGAGCAGTGTTCATTCACCTGAAAGCCAAACTAAGTCTCTGGCTGGATTCAGATGTCTTTTGGGTGAGTACTGGATCCAACAAAATAACTCCTGTCACTGTAGCTGACCTTGGAGAATTTTATTAGTTAGTGAAGATGCCAAATGCAAAGAACAAAACTGAAGCCACAATGTCAGTTAAAAATTAGCTACTCTATTAATTAAGTCTTGCTTACATCCTAAGCTGCTGGTATCCTGTATGGCTATAAGCATATTACCATTCATTTTATGTAGAATGCAAATGACATAGCTGTAATACTGATGGATGGCTTAGTATGTAACAGGATGGTAGAAAAGCTGTAATTTTATAAAAGTATAAATTTTGTTGTGTGGATGGCCCAATGTGCTGGATCTCTGCAATGCTTTCCAGGACACAGGATGAACAGGGACAATTTTTTGTATCAGCTGCAATGAAAATAAAATAGAGATTTTCAGGAGCAGTGGGAAGGGGAAGCAATTTTCATGTAACTGATGTTATGAAGCTCATCAGAAATTCTTCACTTTTAAGGCTGTTTCAACAATGAAATGACAGGTTTTTAAATCCTCCCACACAATGCAGTCATATAGTAGTATCACTAATTGTTGTACTATAGTATTATTTACTCCCAAGCACTGTCTTTCTTATTGCTGGTTTAAAGTACATGTGTATGTATGTGTTCATATCTATCAATCTTCTTTTTAAACCAAAACTTTCTGCTTTCTGTCTGCAAACAGCATCACCCTGTTTTCATCTGACCCCAGGTGCTGAGGAAGGTAGTAATGTAAGTACTTGGTCAACCTGACTGCCAGGAATTTTCCTCTACAACAAAAGGAAAGCCATATGGGCATGGCTGTGACCCTGCCTCTGCAAAGGACCCTTTCCCTCTTATTCTCCACAAATATTGATCTGAAAGCCAAAGGGGAATGCTTCACACCAGGCCCTACTGAAGAATTTATTGGAGACCCAAGTTTCTTTGTGCTTCTTCTCACCTGCAAGCAAGGAACAGCTGAGGGCAATTCTGCTGCTGAGGACAATTCTGCTGCTGAGGGCATCTTTTGAAGGAAAAGGGCTGTCAGCCCAGAGCCAGCAGGCATAAAGTATTACAGTTCCCATTGCATTGAACAGCATCCTTTTATGAGCTGACAGTATGCAAGCCATAAAATCCATGGATGTTTCTGTACTCTGTAAAATGTGTCTTTAGATCTGTCCAGGGAACAACAGCTTTTCCAGTTTATTTGTATGGGTGGAGTTGAGGAATGCATTCAATGTTTGTTACACAATCCCCTACTACTGTGGCTGAGGGATTGCTCTTCCCCTGCTACTCCCAGTGCACTGAGCCCTCCCTGGTCTAGAGGTTAATGTGCCAACCCCAAAACCTGGTCTGCTGATCCAGGTTATTGCCTAGTTGCATTTGCTCTAGCCATTCTCTTGCTTCCAGTGGTGCCTGTGGGCTCAGAAAGAGGACAGGGCTTTGTCTCCTGCTGGGTTCTGGTGCTGCCCAGCTGTCCCCACTCAGAGCCTGCAGGGCCCTGGCTGCCACAGGACAAATCCACTCCAGGAACAAGCCAAAAAGGGGGAATGGGCATGGTGGCAGGTAGAGCTCATGCCTGTGCCTCAACCCTAATTGGTTTTCTAATATATGTTCAGGTAGTATTCCTTAGAGAGTCAGAA